TAATCATATGTAATCACATTTATGTGCATGTATGTTTATGATTATTATCATTATTAAATCATTTATAATCTAGGAAAAGTGTGAACGTGTTTTTGTGGGTACAGATCCAAACCTGTGAAACAAATTATAAGTGCTGCGCAGCCTGTAACACCTGTTACATAGGTACTTAATAAATGCTTGTTCCCTTTCCTTCTTGTGTATCTATCTATCTCTTGTGTCTAACTCTTGTGCACCTTCTTATTCACATGCTGTACTTAGCACAGGGCCTGGCACATGGTCATTGCTTAATGTTTATTGGTTGATGTTGTCTCTGTCCTATCAGACTGTAAATTCTTCTGTAGCTAATACAGAGGAATTTACTTTGCTCAGCTGGGCATATTTGTTATAAAGGTTTTTTTTTTCCTTTCTCCCCTCCAATTCATTGGGAGATCAAATGGATTTTTGCTCATTAAAGAAACAAGTTTAGAAGAAAAAAAACAAGCAAAAAAAAAAGGTGGGGGTTGTTTCTGCCTTTCTTTGTATTCCCAAGCACTTAGTACAGCACCCAACATGTATTAAGCATTCAAGAAATGCTCCCTATTGATTGATTTAGAAGCAGTGGGCAGGAGAGTTTCTTAGGCCATTACAGTCCCATGGATTCTAAATAACAGACATGACCAAGTATCTTTTATAAACACTCTCAGGATTAATATTCTAGGTTATAATTTCTTTTTTTAAATTTTTTATTAATTCATTTTGATTTATCAACAATCACTTCCATAAGCTTTTGAGTTTAAAATTTTTCTCCACCTCCTTCCCCAAGATGGCGTGTAATCTGATATTGGTTTTACATATAGATTCCTATTAAACATATTTTCACATTAGTCATGTTGTAAGGAAGAATTAGAACCAATAGGAGAAATCACAAGAAAGAAGAAAAAAACAAAACAGAAGAAAAAAATAGCAAATAGTATGCTTATATCTGCATTCAAACTCTATAGTACTTTTCTCTGGATGTGGACAGCATTTTCCAGCATGAGACTTTTGGAGACATCTTAGATCCTTGCATTGTTGAGAAGGACTAAGTCTATAAACGTTAGTCATCACACAGTGTGGCTGTAACTGTGTACAACATTCTCCTGATTCTGCTCACTTCACTCAGCATCAGTCCATATAAGTCTTTCCAGGTTTTTCTGAAGTCCACTTGCTCATCATTTCTTATAGCACAATAATATTCCATTACATTCATATATCACAACTTATTCAGCCATTCCCCAATTGACGGGCATCCCTTCAATTTCCAATTCTTTGCCACCACAGAAAGAGCTGCGATATTTTTCTACATGCAAGTCCTTTTCCCATTTGTATGTTCTCTTTGGGATACAGACCTAGAAGTGCAATTGCTGGGTCAAAAGGTATGCAGTTTTATGGCCCTTTGGGCATAGTTCTCAATCGCTCTCCGAAATGGTTAGATCAGTACACAACTCGACCAACAATGCATTAGTGTTCTAATTTTCCCACATTTTCTCCAAAATTCATCATTTTCCTGTTTTGTCATGTTAGCCAATCTGATAGGTGTGATGTGGTACCTCAGAGTTGTTTTGATTTGCATTTCTCTAACCAATAGTGATTTTGAGCATTTTTTTCATATGACTATAGATGGCTTTAATTTCTTCATCTGAGAACTGCCTGTTAATATCCTTTGACCATTTATCAATTGGGGAATGACTTGTATTCTTATAAATTTGACTTAGTTCTTTATGTATTTAGAAATGAAGCCCCTATCAGAGACACTGGTTGTAAAAATTCTTTCCCATTTTCTGCTTCCCTCCTAATCTTGGTTGCATTGGCTTTGTTTGTGCAAAAAGTTTTCAATTTAATGTAATCAAAATTATCCATTTTGCATTTCATAATGTTCTAATAATGTTTATGACCCGTTTGGTCATAAATTCTTCTGTTCTCCATAAATCTGACAGGTAAAGTATTCCTTGCTCTTCCAGTTTGCTTATAGTATCAATCTTTATATCTAAATCATGAACCCATTTTGACTATTTTGGTATATGGTGTGAGATTTTGGTCTACGCCGAGTTTAGGTTGTAATTTCTGGTTTGGCAACTAAGCGTTAAATGCTACAGAAACAAACTCAAAATCACCTATTGTAGTGTTAATAAATCATTATATAGCATAAGTCACAAAGATTTATCCTCATGAGTTCAAATCTAGCCTCAGACACTAGCTGTTTGATCCTGGGTATGTCACTTCACTCTGCTTGCCTCAGTTTCCTCATCTGTAAAAAGAGCTGGAGAAGGAAATGGCAAACCAGTCCAGTATCTCTGCCAAGAAAACCCCAAATGGGGTCACCAAGAGCCAGACATGGCTCAACAACAATCTCAAGACCCCACAGAGAGGCCTTATATTTTACTTTTAATTCTGATACATTTTCAGAGAAATTTCCCCACACCCCTTTCTACTAGTTTGTATACACTTAAATTGGGCTGCAGTTTAAACAGCCTTTCATATGTTCCTGCAATAGAACCATAGATTTGGAGCAGGAAGGAGCCTTAAGAGGTCATCTAGCCAATGTCCTTCATCTTACAAATCAGGCCCAGAGGGGTTAAGTGACTTGTCACTTAAAGTCCCATAAGTTGTAAGAATTGGGGCTAGAATGTGAAACCAGGTTCTGATTCCAGATCTAACACTGCTTCTCTTGTATCACAATCTGAAGAGTAAGGATAACACTGGACAGCCAGGCTCCAACCAGATCATGGGGTTGGGGGTGGGGGGAAGGGAGAGGACGGACAGGATTGGGAGCAGGAGCTTGACTTTCCAGGCAACAGGAGAAACACATAAGGCTTCTGAGTGACAAGATCATAGCAGTATCTAACAAAGAGTAATTGGGCCTTTGTGTAGAGAATGGGTCGAGGGAGTCAGGAAGACCATTTAGGAACTGTGCCAGGATGCCCAGGTGGGTACAGGAGCTCAGGAGACAGATTGGGTTATTTTCCAGGCTTGCTTTTTTTTTTTTTTTTTCCAATTTAGCTCTGCCTTCCCACCATTCTGTCCCTCCTCCCATTTTGTTTCTTTTGATAGGTTTGTATAATAGCAACTAAAGCAACTAGGTGTCACAGTGGAGAGTGCTGGGCCTAGAATCAGGAAGACTCCTCTTCTTGAGTTCAAATCTGGCCTCGGATATTTTCTGTGTGACCCTGGGCAAGTCACTTCACCCTGTTTGCCTCAGTTTCCTCATCTGTAAAATAGAGAAGGAAATGGCAAATCACTCCAGTATCTTTGCCAAGAAAACCCCAAATGGGGTCACCAAGAGTTAGACATGACCAAAACAACTAAATAACAACAATCACAGTTAGCATTTCTATATCTCACATACGTGATGCATCATGCATCATCACTGCTGATTCCTCAATTGCTGAACTTCATCACCATCTCATCCCAAGCTTCTTTGGCAGCATGGATTCTCACCTTTATTTCTTCTTGTTACTCTTTTGATAATTGTTTCTTCCTTGAATCCCTCGGATGTGTCCGTGACTCATTTTATTGGATACTCACTGTCTGTGGGTTCAATTCCAGGACGTCTTCCTTCAGATTATTGTCCCCCATTTATTCCCTAACCTTCCTCCCCTCTTCCCCCAAGCCCATCAGGGTTCTTCATTGGTATGTTTCTTTTAAAAGTTTTATCTTTGCCTTTTGCCTTTCCATCACATTCACTTCCAAATATATTCCTTTTCTCTCCAGAGCCTGGGAGCCTTTCCTTGGACCAAAGATTTGAGAAAAAAGTTTTTTTTAAATGTCTTTTTTATTCTTTCTCATGAGGGATGGTAAAGGATAGCGTGAGCAGATGAATGCACAGCTGGAGTATGTCAACGAAACTTTAAGTGCAGAAAGTCCAAAGCATCTACTGCATTGGATGGCACAGGCCGTGCACCAACCCTCTGTTCCCCTGCCCATGGGAGGAGGATGGAGTCGAATCTCCACCTCTGCCTGCAGGGCCAGGCTTGGATGTCAGAACCACAGGATTCAGTTGTGTTTTCTTGTTCTGTTTACATTATTGTGGGCATGGTGCCAGCTGGCCCCCGTCTCAGACTTCACTCTGCAGTTTTTCCAAGTCCACGTCTGTCTGCATTCCTAGTTGTCATTTCTTACAGCAAATTAATATTTCATTCCATTAATGCTCCCCTTTTGTTCCACCATTCCCCAGAGGATGAGGCACCATTTTGTTTCCAGTTCTTTGCTGTCATGAAAGTTGATATTACTTGGGACTTTTCTGTCTTTGGGGCTAAGGTAAGGTTAAGAGAAAGATCTTTGGGTCGGTGAGCTGATTCGTTCCTTCTGGTGTGATTTAATTTTCTTCTGAATATTTCTGGCAGGCACCGTTTTTAAATGTTTTTTATTGGTGTTTTTAAAGGGAACACTGAGGAGATAGCCTTCCGTAAGGTCTAGGTCACTTTTTAGAAACCTGGTTGTCAGTAAGGCCACCCTGGGTCCTAAGCTGGCCTCAGTCCTCCGGCTGATTATTTTGTTTGCTAAGAAAAGATTAACCTCTTCTAGTGGCACAAGGCTGTGGCTGGGCAGGGGAATCTGCTAGTCCCAACCTATCATAGGGTTGTTGTTGGTGTGTGTATGTGCGTGCATTTGTGCATGTGTGTGTTTTGGGGGGAAGGGAGTTAAAGGGAGAAGGAGATTGGGGCTAAGGCCTGGAAAGATGGAGTGAAACAGTCAGGACAGACAACTGCGATCCGTTCCAGAATTCCCTTCCCCTTTCTAGGGGCTGCAAAGGGCAAGGGCCAGGTCAGAGAGGGAAGTGTGAGGGGGCCTCTGGATGGCACTGATGAGGATCTCTCCTCTCAACACCTCTACTAAAGGGTGTAACGGAGGGGTTATTTCCTGCAGAGTTAGGCCCCCCTCTTCCTCCTCCTCCTCCTCGTCATTTGGTCACACAGAATGACACACAGGAACACCTGCCCCCCCCCCGCCAACCCTACACTCCACAAGGAAAACAGTCATCGTCTGGGAGCCCCAGTCACGGACACTTTAATGTCTTCACTGGTGATGGCAGCAGTAGGAACCAAGAAACTCCTTTTTTTGAGGACCTAGAGAGCCCAGCCCAAGGTACAAAGGCGCAGCACTCTGGTCCAGCCAGGGGAGAGAGAGCAAGGTCTGCGAAGGGCAGCTCAGGGCAGCTCAGGGCTCAGAACCTCATCTGTGCCTGTCCTTGCTCCAGGTGACAGAGGCCAGGAAGGTGCGGATTTCCATGGGCTGGAGGGTGACAGCAGAGGGGTCCAGGGCGGGGGCCGGCTGCACAGGAGCAGGGCCTGTTAGAGGGAGACCAGAGAGACAGGAGATGAAAGGGACGTCCCACCTCAGCCCTGGCCCCAAGAGGCTCCTCCTTGGCACTAGGTCCTCCCTACCAAGGGCCCCTCTGGCCACACTCTAGGGCTCCCCAGGGACAGGGACCAGAAGCAGTTGTTCTGCCCCCTCCCCAGCCAGTACCTCCTCCTGTGCTGGTCCTCCACTGAAGCCTGGTAGCCTTGGAGAGGGGCTGGTCAGCTGACAGAGTGGTCTCCTCCAGGTGGCTTATGGTGAAGGCTGAGAACAGATCCTGAGAGACCAAAGAGAAGATGGGGCTGAGTGGGGTCCTCTCCCGTTTCCCCCTGCCCTTCTCTTGGTCCTCCCCTCTACTCACCTGTAGGTCCAGGGTCACTGGCTGGGACAGGTTGAACATGCTGCCCTCCTCACGCTCAAAAATGTGCTCCAGGCGCAGCAGGACTGTGTCGGGGCCCCAGTGGGCCAGGGTCAGCAGGTGCACAGCTGGGGGGAGCTCTCTTCGAAGTCCGGAGAACTGCCACAGAGGGAGCAAGGGGGAAAGATGGGTCCATGGAGCAAAGCGTCCTCCTTGCTAAGGCCCACCCTCCTGGGTCTGGGACACACTCTCACCTGTGTGAGTGCAGGGGTCCCCGGGCTGTATGGGGTGCCCTGCCCCATAGGGGCCAGCACCAGATGTGGGGCCAGAGCTTCCCTCTGGGCCTGGAGGCGGTGTCCAGCAGCCGCTGCCTCCACTGTGTCCAGCAGCAGCAAGTGTCTGCCCCGCACCACCAGTCCTGTGCCAGGCCAGTCCCCAGGCTCCAATAGGGCCTCTCCTACCCCTCGGTTATCATCCAGGAGTAGTCGCCGGTGAACCTGCAGGAACACTGGGGCGTCAGCCTCGGGGGTACAGAGGTGTGCCAACACACACTCACATGGCCCTGGGCTCTTCCCTCCCCATCCCCCCATCATCTTCACATAACTTACCATCAGCTCCAGGGAACCGTCCCTCAGGCTACTCCCCCCTTGGGACCTGTCCGTCAGCACCGTCAGCTGGATCTGCCCATCCTGTGGAGTAAGAAGGAGAGGGAGTCAGGATGATTCTTTCTGGGACAGTAGGTGGGTGCTCCAAGCTGTACCGCAGCCTACTTCCAGGTCCCCAGAGGCTGGGGACCCACTGAGGCCCACTGACTGACTGGTCAGTTAGAAAGCATTTCTGAGGTGCTTACTATGTGCCTGGCACCATGCTAAGTACTTGGGATCAAAAAAAGGCAAAGAGTCCTTCCTCTCTGGGACAACCGTGATGTGAAGGGATAAGACAACCTGCAGGTATGGAGGCGTGTATGACCTACAAACAGAACAGAAAGGTGATAACCCGAGAGAGGCGGCTTTCGGCAGAGGGGGCCTGGCAGCTGGGGAGAAGGCCCACAGTACTCTTCTTTACCTTCTGACCTCGATGCAAATCTGCCCACTGGAAGTGGGGGCTGCCCTGATGTCGCTGGGCCCCTGGGACACGTCTGATTAGCCCTGACGGCGATCAGCACACTGGGGGGATTACCGTGATGTAGATGCGGCTGTTGATGGGGTAGTAGTTTCCAGCCACGGGCTCGGTCTGGTTTAAATCCCACGTGGGCCGATAATTCCGCCTGCAGAGGTGGAGACAGGCTGAGGTCATTTATGGTTCACCCCAGGCTTTGCTTCCCCATTGTCAGGGCCCCAGCAGAATGGGAGCAAGGTCCTGGGAGCCATGGCTCCACAAGGAAGCCTTCCTGGAGGCCTGCTGGGGGGCAGGCCTCATGCTGCATGCTGGGGTACAAAGACAGAAAATGCCAGTGTTCCTCATCTCGAGGAGACAGTACGTACAGGTTTTCAGGGGTGTGTGTGTGTGTGTGTGTGTGTGTGTGTTTAGGAAAGGCTACCTTCAAGAGATGACATTTGGGGGGCAGCTAGGTGGCGCAGTGGGTAGAGCACCGGCCCTGGATTCAGGAGGACCTGAGTTCAAATCTGGCCTCAGACACATAACACTTACTAGTTGTGTGACCCTGGGCAAGTCACTTAACCCCACTGCCTAACCAAAAAAAAACAAAAACAAAAACAAAACAAAACAAAACAAACAAAAAAAAAGAGATGACATTTGAGTTTAACCTTGAAAGCAAACAAGGGATTCTGAAAGATCAAGGTGAGGAGGGAGGGCATTCCAGGCATGAGGCACAGCCAGTGCAAAGACCTAGAGGTGGGAATGTTATGTTAGAAGGACAGTAAGAAGGCTTGTTTGGCTGGACCACTGATGGGGTGGAAGCAGGAATACATATGAAGGCTAGAAGGAGGATTGGGCCAAGGGCCCAATGGGCTTTCTATTGGAGCATTAAACACTAAATCCTGCGCTGGGTCCAGAGGATCCAGAGGCATGGGGATGGAAGATGGGGTCATGCGCCAACTCAGCTGGAACACAGGAGCGGGTGAAGGGGAATAATGTCTACTAAGGCTAGAAAGAGAGGCTGAAGCTAGCCTGGGCAGGATCACAGACTGATTGTTGGCAGAGACTTCAGAGGACGTCTATTCCCATGCCTCATTTTATAGATGATCACAATGGGTCCCAGACGGTTGAAGTGATTTGTTCAGTGGGATTGGAATCCAGCTCTTTTGACCCCAAATCCAAAATTCTCTGGCCAGTGTACCAACTCCCACTTCTGGGATGGGGGTGAGGGTCCTACCTCCTCTCCAGGATCTCCCGCCCATTGCTGTCAGTGTAGAAACGCCCATTGGTCTTCAGCTGGGTGTCAAAGCGGCTGATGATTTCCTTCCCCCAGTCATCCCTGCAGGAGTGAGGTGGATGAGGAAATCACAGAGGGTCAGAGGCAGGCCACGCCCCGGCCTCCCTGCTCACTCCCATCCCCCTCTTTTCTCTTGCCACTCACCCCACAGGCACAGGCCCCACCGTCCACTCCAGCTCCACATGCCGCTGTCCAGGGTAGAGCCGCACAACCTGGGAGCACCAGGCAGTGAAGTTCTGATGCACTTCCTGCACCAAGGCCTTCTGAGGGATGAAGAGTAGGGCACCGTCGGGGGAGAGAGCGCTCACTCTGACCTGGTCTGAGCCTCTCTGGCCACCTGAAGGATGCCTCCCTAAGACTGCTGGGATCCTTCCCAAGGACCAGCTCCACCCCTCGGTCTGGCCCCCACCCAGGGAACCTCTGCCCCAGGCTTCTATGCTCTACTGGGGAAATGTTCTTTTTTTTTTTTTTTTTTGCCTTTTTTTTGGTGAGGCAATCGGGGTTAAGCAACTTGCTCAGGGTCACACGGCGAGTAAGTGTCATATGTCTGAGACTGGATTTGAACTCATGTCCTCCTGACTTCAAGGCCAGAGCTCTATCCACTGCGCCACCTAGCTGCCCCTGGAAATGCTCTTTTTTGATCAAGTCAATCGATCAATGAGCCTTGATGAAGTGCCCACTACCTTGTGGGGACCTTGCTAGGTGCTGATGATACGAAGACAAAACTTCAACCATTCCTGCAGGCTCCCGAAGAAGCTTACCGTCTACCAGAGGAGACAACATGTAAGTAAATACGGAATAAACAGAAAATCAATACAAGGTCCTGAGGGAGGGCAGATCAGGAAAGGCTTCATATAAAAAGGTGGTGCTTAAGCTGAATTTTTTTACGAAGTAAGAGGTGTTAAGAGGCAGAGGGAAGGAGGAAGTACATTCCAGCTTGGAGAATGGCCAGTGCAAAGGCCCAGAGATAGGAGATGGAGAGAGGAAAGGAGACGAGGCCAATTTGGCTGCACTCCACTACCAGAAGGGAGACATTGTAGAACAGGACTGTTAGAAAGAAAAGTTGAGATCAAAGACTTTAGAAGGCCAAAGAGAGGCGTTTGTATTTTATCCTGGAGGTGATAGGAAGCCACTGGAATTCATGTGAGTAGGGAAGTCACACAGTCAGATCTGGACTTAAGGAAAGTCACTGGACTGAGGAGAGGACTTGGAAGGGTGTCACAATAGCTTAGGAGATAAATGATGGTGGCCTAAATAGGGGGATGGTCATGTAAATAGGAAGAGATCTGAAAGATGCTGTGACAAGATCTGGCACGTGATTGGATATATGGTGTGAGTGGGTGGGAGGAGTCCGAGGGAACATCTAGGGCATAGAACCTGGGATGCCGGAAGGATGGTGGTGCCCCATACAAAAGTAGAGAAAATCAAAAGAGAGGAGTCTTGAGGGAAATGATAATGAGTTTGCTTCTGGACATACCGGATTTGAGATCTATAGGACATCTCATTTTAAATGCCTAATAAGCAGTTAGTTGATGATGTAGAACTAGAATTCTAGGAAGAAACTGGGGCTGGATGTATAGATCTACAGAGATGATAGTTAAACACAGACACATGGGAGCTGATGAGAGACAGAGACACAGAGAGAGATGACAGACAGAGAGAAAGAGGACAGAGAGAGGAGAGAAAAAGAGAGACACAGAGAGAGACACTAGGGCATAGATTTAGGGTATCCCCACAGTTAGGTTTTTCTGAAGCGATAATGGAGAAGAGGGAAGGAGGATACTGACTGAGAAAGTTGACCAGGGGAAAATTATCAGGGATGTCTATGGAACAAAAGTCCTTAAAAACCGCTAGACCAAAGGCACCAAATTCAAACAGAAACAGACACCCAGGGACCATATGCTTCGTTAGAAAACCATAGACTGCCATTGTCTATGATGCTGTATTTATTTTGTAAAACAATTCCCAATTACATTTTAATCTGGCTCACCAGGCCCTAAGGCAGGCCCCAAGTCTGATAACTCTGTACTAGACAGTAGCCACATTACCAATCTCCCTTGCAGAGAGCTAAGACTCCTAGTACAACCTGGCCCCTGTGATTCTCTGCATCTCTGGGGACCTGCCACAGGCCTGATCCCAAAGGAAAATGACACTTTTTTCCCCTCAAAATATCTCCTGCTGTATTGGGATTGGCTCAGCTGGGTGTTCTGTGTAGAACCTATTTATTTGGTAGAGGAGTAAACAGCTGGTTAAGAAGATGGTATCTGAGAACGGATTCCCAAAACACCAATTAAAATATAAAAATGACAGGATCTTGGCTAAGGATAGAGTATGTCTAACAAGGGCTGGTATTTAAAAAAAAAAAAAAAAGTATTCACTTGAATTTCTGCCAAGCAAATCAAAAGGACTTTAGGGTGAGAAGGAAGGGACAGAAGAAAACTGCTTACACATATCTCCCAAGCTAAATGCCACAAAGAGTAACCACGATGCAGGGAGAATAGTAGAGATGTGAGAAAGTCACTAAAGAATTCCATCTAAAAAAACCAAGCAAACCCCAAATCAGCACCCTTGGCTTCAAGTGTCCATTCATGTCCAGGCACAAGGTGAACCAGAATTCTCTAGGGGGCCTCCATCTCACACACCAAGAGCAGCCTCACGGCCCAAAGAGAAATGATTCCATGGAGCAGGAAGAGACCAAACATGGACTAAATTACTCCGAAACTCTTATCCTGCTTGTTTTTTCTGCCAAAGAGAATCACCTTTAGACTGGAAAAGAGCATACAAAACAAGCTCACAGGGCAGTGAAAGCTAAAATGAGAAAGGAGATAATGCCAGCACCTCGCTAAACCTTAGTGAATTAAGTCACTCGGCTCACACGAACTATGAGTTGGGAAAATGAGAGCTGGACAACGTTACAACAAATTGGATTCAGAATGAGTTGAGGGGCCGGTCTTAAAGCACAGTTATTAATGGTTCCATTTCAATACGAGCAGAGGTCTTTAGTGGAGTGCCCCAGGGATCTGACCTGGGTCCTTTGCTGTTTAACATATTTAGCAATGACTTAAAGATACAGGTGGTGTGCTTACAAAATTAGAAATGACACAGATTTAGAGTAATAGTTAACACAGACGCAGATTCAGGATCTTAAAAAAGACCAAACCTCTGACAGATCAATTTAGGGACAAACCTAATAAAATGAATTGACTAAGAATGAATAGGTTTATACTTGGTTCGAAATCCAGCTTCCCAAGTAAAGGATGAAGGCGGCATTTTGAGACAGTATTCCAGATAAAAAGGATCTGGGGGCTTCAGTGGACTGCAAGATCCACGGGGGGCATGCTCTCCAGCAGCCAAAGAAGCTGGAGTGATCTTGTGCCACCATACCGGGCATCACTGCCGGGAATCCAGAAGCAGCAGCGTGGCTGTGGTGTTCTGCTGAGACCACATGCAGGGCGTGACGTAACCAGTAGGCTGACACCACAACGCTCCCTCTCACAAGCTTGGTGCTGTGGCCAAATTGCTCTGCTTGCTCTTCCACATACTCAACATACCATCTCGCACCTCCATATTTTTGCATGGCTGGTTGTCTGCCTCGCCTCTAGCTCCTGGAAGCTCCAGCTCCCTTCAAGGCTTGGCTTGGATGCCACTTCCTTTCAGGAAGTCTGTCTTGATTTCTCCAGCTACTAGTGCCTCACCATGACACCTTCCCCACCTCCCAAAATACAAAAGAATTTTTTTACCAGTCCTTTGACTTCGCTGGCATCAGCAAATCCCAATAAAGATAGATCCTTCCACCAATGCCACTCAACAAATGATCTATAACTCAGTCTTAAAGAATTGTGGGAGAAGTTAAGTGACTCGCCCACAGTCACAAAGTCTTTATTGCCTGAGGTTGGACTTGCACCCAGGTCACCCTGACTTCAAGACCTCAGCTGCCTCAAACTGCCTCTTGTTTTGTACACACCCTATATTGATTCATTGTAACCAAACGTTAGCTCCCTGAGGGAGGGGTTATCTCACCTTTCAATGTGTATTTCCTAGCACATGCCTTATCCGTAGCAGATACCAAATAAATGCCTATTGATGGACGGATGCTTTGGTTCTGAGCACCACATTTTAGGAAGGATGTTGATAAGCTGAAGGGCCTCCAGAAAAGGTGAAGGGGAGAGGAACTTCAAGGATGTGCTCTATGAGGACTGGCTGAGGAAGGTAGGCATGGTCCCTCTGGATCAGAGAAAACTAGATGGGGGGAGGGGGGCTGCAACAATAGTATTTAAAGGACCATCATGTGGACAGGAGACTTGACTTGTCCTGCCTGGCCCCAGAGGACAAAACTAGGAGCACTGAGTTGCAAAGAGGCTGCTCTAAGTGCCAAAAAAACCCTTTCCTAATAAATAGCACCTATCATCTAAAAGTGGAATTCGCTGCTGTGGGAGGGGAGTGGGTCTGCCCTCACCAGAAGTCTTGAAGAACTATAACACTGCAGCCAAGATGGCAGATCAGGGGCAGCCACCCAGATGAACTTTCTCAACATTCTCCTCCAAATAATTTTAAAATAAAGCCTCAAATTAAATTTTGGAGTGGCAGAGCCAACAAAAGGTCAGGGTGAGACATTTTTCCGGCCTAAGAAAACTTAGGAGCTCGGCAGGAGAAGTTTGTGAAGCCCAGAGTGGAGGTCTGTCCAGAGCCCACACACATGGCAGCAGCAACAGCTTCTGGAACTCTTAGCCCAGAGACCGTAAGAGGTCTGACAACTGGTCAGAAAGAGATTACAGGGCACTGGGTACAGCTGGCACTGACTGGCATTTCTATTGCACATACACAGTTCTGGGTTGCAGTTCTAGGGCAGAAAGGAGTGCTGGGGATTGGTCACAAGGGAGTCAGGGCACTTGTCACAGTACCAAAGCAGAGAGGAACACTAGTATTTGTGGCTGCAGGGGACCAGAAGCCCTTCCTAGCTAAAGACCAGAGCACAGAGCAGGAGAGCAGTGACCACACCTCTCCCAGGATCATACCGCCTTGGAAGCCCCAAAAACTCGCAGACCCCCAGAACCAGCTCTGAAAACAGCAGCACAAAAAAGCCCGAAGCTTGGGACAGTGCCTCCCCACCCCAAGGTGATCAGAGCCCAACTTTAACATAAAGTTCAACGTTAAGAAATAGACTAGAAAAATGAACAAACAACAAGAAAAGAATTTGACCATAAAAAGCTGCTATGGTGGTAGGGAAGAGTAAGACGTTGTTTGTCTTCTGTTCTTGAAGAGAATCATGACATCGGGAAAGTGATGCCATGACTTGCACATGAAATGGATTTAAGTGAGGGAGGGCTGTGCAAAGTCACCAGCCTCACCTTCTCCTCCAGAGCCATCTGGGCCCAGTGGCAAGACTAAGACATACATTCAGAGGAAGACAACAATGTGAAAACAAATATAAACAAAGCCTCAAAGAAAAATACTAAGTGGACCCAAGCCCAACAAGAATACCTGGAAGAGTTTTTTGGTGTGTGTGTGTGTGTGTGTGTTTTTAAGCCAACTGGGGTTAAGTGACTTGCCTAGGGTCACACAGCTAGTAAGTGTCAAGGGTTTTGGTCTGAGGCCGAATTTGAACTCAGGTCCTCCTGACTTCAGGGCCGGTGCTCTATCCACTATGCCACCCAGCTGCCAAGAATACCTGGAAGAGTTAAAGAGATTAGTGGAAGAGGAAAAATTGGAAAAAGAAATGAGAGTGATGCAAGAAAATTATGGAAAGAGAATTAACAGCTTGGTAAAAGAGGCATAAAAAATACTGAAGAAAAATAACATCTTAAAAATAGAATTGATATGGAGCAGCAAGGTGGTACAGTGGATAGATCACTGGCCCTGAATTCAGGAGGACCTGAGTTCAAATCCAGCCTCAGACACATAACACTTACTAGCTGTGTGACCCTGGGCAAGTCACTTAACCCCATCGCCTAACCCAAAAACAAAAAAAATAGAATTGATTTAATGGTAAAAGAGGTATAAAAATTCAGTGAAGAAAAGAACTCCTTAAAAATGAATTAGGTACAGCTAGGTGATGTAGTGGATAGAACACCAGCCCTGGAGTCAGGAGGACCTGAGTTCAAATCTTGTCTCCTGAAAGAGATCCCAAAATGAAAACTCCCAGGAATATTTTAGCCAAATTCCAGAGCTCCCAGGTCAAAGAGAAAATACTTCAAGCAGCCGGAAAGAAACAATTCAAATACTGTGAAGCCATAGTCAGAATAACACAAAATTTAGCAGCTTCTACATTAAAGAATCGAAGGTTTAGAATATGATATTCCAGAAGGCAAAAAAGCTAGGATTACAACCAAGAATAACCTACCCAGCAAAACCAAGTATGAAATCCTTCAAGGAAAAAATAAATATTTAATGAAATAGAGGGCTTTCAAGCATTCCTGATGAAAAGACTGGAGCTGAATAGAAAACCTGACATTCTGACAAGACTCAAGAGAAGCATAAAAAAGTAAACATGAAAGAGTGATCGTAATGGTCTCAATAAAGTTGAACTGTTTACTTTCCTATATGGGAAGATGATACACGTAACTCCTAAGAACTGAGTCAAATTAATCAAAGCTATTTACGGTCATTTGAAAAAATGCTTTACCTTACTATTGAGCAGGGAAAGGCAAATTAAAACAACTCTGAGGTACCACAGAATGGTTAGACTAGTTGTGACATATGATTGCGATGGAATACTATTGTGCTATAGGAAATGGTGAAGGGGGTGGTTTCAGAAAAAAAAAAAAAAACATGGCAAGACCTACATGAATTGATGCAAAATGAAGTGAGAAGAATGGGGAGATCATTGGAGAGAGTCTGAGTAACACAGTCATGATGATCAACTGTGAAAGTCTTGGCTTACTCTGATCAATACAATGATCCAAGACAATTCCAAAGGATTTGATGAAAAAATGCCATCCACCTCCAGAGAGAGAGCTGTTGAACTCTGAGAACAAGCTAAGGTATAATTTTCTCACTTTCTTTCTTTTTTTTTTTTTTAAATTTGAATAATATAGAAGTGTTTTATATGACTTGATATTAAATTGCTTGCCTTCTCAGTGGGTGGGGGAGGGGGTAAGAGGGAGAGAATTTCGACTTCATAAAGAAAAGAATGCTAAAAATAATGAACAATGCATTTTTTAAATGTTAAAAAAAGAACTATAACACTCAATATTCAGGGATAATGAAGAAGGGGTTCTGGTTCAGGTGTATGTTGGACTAAATGAGATGCAAGGCCCCTTCCAACTCTGAGTCTACTTCCAAGGCCAGGTTCATCATTGACCAATCAAGAATTCTCCTAGTGTCTGGTTGGCTTTGGGGAGGTTCCAGCTACACAGTCTTATTTAATTCCTGTTTTAAGAGACTTCATCTCAAATATTCTTGCGCTTGTAAGAATATGACTTCTTCCTAACTCTCAGCTGGCTCATAGTTTATAAGAGACCCACCCCTGCCTCCTTACATTCCCCCCACACCCAGAGCTTTGCCAGGTCTAGGCAGCCACACCCTCCCAAATACCTTCACCAGACGGGTATTGGCCCAGTGCCTCAGAAGAAATGGTTTTGTTTGTGCTGGCCTGAAGATGTAGGCCCCAGAGACCTGTGGGTGCATAAAGTCCCCACTGCTGGCATTGTACCTGGAGGGACAGAAGAAGACACATGGGGAGTTACAGGTCAGACTGACTTCTCTTATCACCTTGTACCCCAAGATACCTCATCAAAAGCCCCTGATGATCCTTCACAGGGCCCTTCCCTCTCCCCTTCACTTACCAGTAGAAGGCCTGACTGACTGGCAATCGCAACCCCCGGTCGAGGTTTTCGATCTCCTGCAGTAACCCAGTGTTTGGATCAAATGTAACCCGGAGGTGCTAAACAGATAGAAAGACAAGTAGGGAAGCTTAGGAGGGATGGGGTGGAAATGGGGTCACCTAATCACAAAATAGGACCTCAGTCACCCTCTAGGCTAACCCCTACCTGAAGGGAGTCTCCACTATCACCTACCCAACTAGCAGCTGTCCGGCCTCTGCTTGCATACCTCTGAGGACGAGGAGGAGGAGGAGGATGGCGGCCCCGGGCAGCCTAGTCTACTCTGAGACAGCACTGTCAGGAGTTTTATCTCGGCATCAAGTCTAAACTTGCTTCTTTGCTCCTTCTATCCAAGGTTTCTCTTCTGCTCTCTGGGACCAACACCACCTAATCCCTCTACCACACGGCAACCTTTTAAATACTTGAGTCTTTTCTTCTCCGGTTTAAACAAGCCTCGTTAGTCAGGAGAGCTGCTCCTCCTCCTCCTATGGCATGCGCTCGAGGCCTTTCATCATCCTGGCTGTCCTCGTCTGGACGTTCTCTAATCTACCAGGGTCCTCAAGTCGTGGCGCCCAGAACGGAGCATTATAATTCAAACTGGGAGGTGGGGGACAATGCAGAGGGAGCCTCAGGCTTGACTCCACAGCCCAGGCACAGCACTCAGTAGGGGGCCGACAACCTGGCCTGGAGAGGGAATGGTCACCCACAAGATCCAAAGGGATCTCAACAGCTTCTCAGAGCGTTGGGCAGACTCGAACAAGATGAAATTCAACAGAGACCCATGTCAAGTCCTACACTGGGGTACAAAAGAATTCAACTTCACCAGTATCAGATGGGGGAGGCAGAGTTAGGCAGCAGAGGGTCTGAAAAAGATCTGGGTGTCTGAGTGGACCACGAAGCTTAATGAGTCAGCAGTGTGATGTGGAAGCCAAAAAAGCTAATGGGATGTTAATGAGCTTAATGAGCTGTATTAAGAAGGGTAAAGCTTCCAGGAATAGAGAAGGGAGGTCCCACTGTCCTCTACCCTGGTTAGACCTCCTGGGGAGTGCTGAGTTCAGTTCTGGGCACCATGGATTAAGCTGGACATTGATAAGCTGAAATCAGGACAATAGAAGGCCTTAAATCCACGTCATATGAGGATCATTTGAAGGCATGCTTAGCTTGGAAAAAAGGACTCAAGAGGGATGGAATAGCTGCCTTAAGTATCTGAAGAGCCATTCACAGAAGGAGGATTAGATTTGTTCAGCCCCAAAGGGCAGAACCAGGAGTGATGACTGGAAGTCACAAAGAGGCGAACTGAGGCTCAGTGTCAGGAAAAGTGTCCCCAGATGAAACAGTCTCCTTCAGGAGGTGATGGGCTTCCCTCCTTGGAGGTCTTCAAGCAGAGACTGAATGGCCACTCATAGGGTACATTCTTATGGTGATTCTTTTGGGGCACAAGTTGGATCGACACCCACTGAGGTTCTTTCCAACACTGACTGTGTGATTCTGAAATGGGGGCCCATCACCAGAGAGCCAAGGTCTCCTCCCCCCCAGCCCTGGCCTGTCTCATGAGGTATCTCCCACTCTTAGTCCTGCTCTCAGCTGCTCACCTCATTCTGGATGACCAGGCTTTGGCTAAACCTCTGGGCTCCAGAGGTAGAGCAACAATCCCTGAATTTCGGTGTTTTGCTGGGCAGACGAGTCACTGAATAGATGCTGAAGCCCAGGGGAGGTGCTGAGGCTGGAAAAATCAGCTCCGGACGGAAATTCTCTGATCCTTCAGATAATACATCGATAACCTGGGGAGGGAAACAGGGCAGGGAAATGAAGGTACAATAGGCAGGCTCTGTCTCCCTTAGCCACAAACTGGATGGAGAAGTAGCCCCTAAGAAGAGTGGTACTTATACACTAATGTCCTAAGCCTGACCATTCTAGGGGAAAATGATATGTGGGCTCAGAGGACAGAGGGTATGGAAATGTCAGTGGGGGAGATTAAGAGCAGAAATTCTGGGGGACACTAGAGGGAAAATTGAAAAGACAATGGGGACTGTAAAGGGTTTGTATTTTTTTTTTTTGGTGGGGTGGGGGTGGTTGGGGAAGGGCCAAAGCAAACATAAGGGAATACCTCGCTGGGCACTGTCTGCCCACTGGGACTTCTCACATGGTAGGCCCAATCCTTGACAGGTAGTCGCACAGTCCAGGTGATGCCCCATGCCAAAGGATTGTACAGAACGGCCTGGAACTGGGCAGCCCATAACAAGGGATCAGACCAGGGTTCTTGTGCCTGTATCACAACCTCCCACCCTGTCCTTGCTCCCAGGTTCCAGCCTGCGCCTGGCAACTCCAGCCTCACTGCTCTCATGAAGGAAATTCATTCCAGTCTCTTCCCTTTTTCCTCCCTGACCCAGCCCAGCCCCACTTACATGGCTGGCTGTCTGGGTCAATGGGCACACACTGATATTCAACTGGTTACAGAACACAAAATCCTCCTTGGAGCCCCTCAGGCTTGCCAAAGCATTGCTCACCAGCACCTGGGGAGGGGGGGGAAGGCATGAGTGTACATTACAGGAACCTTGGCCCCCTTTCCAGCCTCTCAGGTGCCCCGTTCCTGGTCCAATCTCAGCTCAGCCCCATACCTGGCACTTCTCCCAGCCTGCGGCCAGTTGCCGGGCATAGTCGTCAGCCACATGCTGCTTGGATGTGCCGGTGACAGCGTCATGGTGCTGGGCCACAGCCATGGCTTGTCCTGGGGGAACCGTAAGGGACAGCATGTCAGGTCACATGAGGGAGGGAGGGACTAAAAGGCTGGGAATGAGGAAAGAAGGAAATGCTCTTCTCTTATGTTCTGGGGAAAAACTCGCCCCCCCCCCCCCACCTTTCCCCATCCCCAGGAACCCAGTCACCTACTGAGGTGAGCACTGCTGCCTTGTCCATAGGGTCCCGTTAAGGCTAACGGCCCAGCCAGTACCTCCAGCTGGTTACACACCTGCGGGGAGGGGGACATGAATGAAAGAGTTTGGGGATCTGGGGAAAGACAGGCAGAACCTCCTTTCTTCCTTCCTTTTGTCCACTCCCTTTCCATTGTTCACTAATCCTTTCATCCCATCTCCAATGAACTCGTCGCCTACTCCCAAGATGGCCCATTCCATCCTCCCTTCAGGAACCCTCATCCCTTTCCCAAAGTCCCCTTCCCTCCTCCCTCCCCAGAAGCCCTCATCCTCCTCTCCTCACAAGATCCTCCTCTCTCCCTAGCAGGCCCACCTGCAGAAACTTATGGCTCAGGCGCTCATAACGCTTGAGGGCCGGGCGGCTGGTGAAGTAGCCAGTCCAGAACTGATGGGGGCCATCTGCATATGGGAAGAAGTCATCCTGCTTCACTGTCCTGGGGCATGGAGGTAGGGCGAGAGTCACTGCCTGCCCCAGGAGCACCGGGGTTCCCCGCCTCTCCCCCACCTACTCCCCTCCCAGTACCAGGTGAGGTTGGCCTTGTTCAGCTGCCACAGGTAACAGGCTGGGGTGGAGTAGAGGACATTGATGAGGCTCCCTTTGCTTTGCTGTGAGGCAAGTCAGGATAGGAGGGTGATTAACTTGGCCTTCTGTTCCACCCGGCTGCTCCCCTCACCCCGCAGACGTTTCCTCTCCCACCGACACATACACACCTGAGCGTTGACCATCTGAATCAGCTTATCCATGTTCTTGAACCACATATTGGCATTTTCATAATGGAAATCACTCCCCATGGTCATCACAATGTGGTTAGTGCGGTAATACTGGGCCTGCATAGTGGGGGATGGGTTAGGATCCTCAGCTACTGAGTCTGCAGCTCGAGTAGGGAGGGAGGGCCAAGCCACACTCTCTCCCCCTCCCTCCACCCCCAGGTTTCAGCCGGGCCTGCCGTCTAGAATGAAGCAGCTCACAGGATTTCTGCGTGGGGTCAGTTTCTGGTACTGGTCAGCGTTCCCTGAACCAGCAGAGGAAAATGGCCCAAAGCTACAGGCCTCAGGAGGGGGCCCTGAAGATGGAGCAACCTCGGAGCTTGTGTCTAAAAGGCAGAAGCCATGTGGGCTACTCCCCGCCTGCCTGGAGTTGCTGACGTATAGGGATTCCGATTCATGACCAGGGACAGGTCTGACCTGGATGGTAGAGATGTTCAGGAAGTAGTTGACCAGCATTTCTGCATTGTACTCTGGGCTGTCGGGATCATCCACCACCGGGTAGTCAGAGCAAAGCACATCCCAGCAGAGATTCGAGGGTGGGTTGTAGCCATTGGGTAGGACACCTAGGACCAGGTGGTCAGGTCAAGGGTTCCCACACTCCAAGCCCCACACTGCTCTCAGGAGCTCCCCCAACCTCAGCCCCTATTCCCAGTCCTTCTTTCTTCTACTTCTAGCTCTCCCCAGGCTCTGTGAGCACCTAATGAACTTCAGGGACGAGAGTGGGGAAAAGACTCTTACCAGTGAAGAGGTCGGCTTGAGGAGGCTGTAAGTTGGCACTCGCCCTCCAGACCTGCTCCATTTCCTTCTGAATCTTCCTCTTATTCTTGTCCTGATAATCCAGACGGCCAAAGAAATAGCCATCAAAGCCCATCTGCAGGGAGGGAATCAGAGAGAGGTCAGGGCCTGTGGTTCTCAACATTTATGGGAAGGGTCGGCAGGTGAGAAGGGGAGGCAAAGCTGAGGCATAGTCAGAGAACACTGAGGCAGACCTGGGCAAAGAGGGACGCTTGCTCCCGTGAGTGTCCAAAGGGGTCAATATGCCAGGCGACTCGAGGGCGGCCACAGTCCCCAAAGGTGTCTTTCAGGAAGTTCAGCCCCAAAGTCATCTGGTCAATGATGGCTGCATAGTACGTGGTGGCCTCGTCATTCATGACCCAGCCTCCATTGGCAAACTGGAGCCTCCCTATGGAGTAGAGGATGGGGTCAGGGGAGTTCTCCCAAAGAAGGAGGCCTAAGGTCCCAACACCTGCCCCTGCCCTTCGGAGGCCTGGCTGCAACAAGCCGAGAGTGGGCACCAGGCTGCCAGCCTGCTCTGGGTCAGGGTGGGTCTCCACCGCGGCAGCACCCATTCCTCCTCACCCTGGCAGACCAGTCGTCGTACGTCCTGCTGCATTTGGGCTGTCTGCTGCTTCCACCAGTAGGAGAAGAAAGCGATCTCAACATAGATGAAGCGACGGGACTCATCGGCCAGCAGAGCCGATACCACCGAGTCCAGGATATACTGCACACCTGCACGCTGGATGTTATCTCGAGCTGGGACAAGGAGGAAGCTTGGAGTCAGTCTACATATGGGCTTCGATTGCCAGAGTTAGGAGTTCATACTTCAGTTTATTAGGCAATAAAAAGCCACTGAAGGAGAAGGACACAGATCAGAGCAATGATTAAGATTAATTTGAACATGACGGGAAGCTTGAATCAGAGGGAAGAAACTGAAGACCAGGGGAACTTGTCAGATTAGACAATAGTCTAAGTAAGAAGGGATGAGAATTCGACCTAGGGGGGTGGCCCTGCGTATGGAGAGAGGGACAGATAAAAGAGATATGAAGAAGGCAGACCTGACAGGACTTGCCAGCCAATGGGACGCTGGGAGGGAGGGAGGAGCCAAAGATAACTGAAGTTGGGTGACTCCTAAGGTAACATATGGCTCAATGGGGAGGATGCTGGGCTTGGGGACAGTCACCTTGGGAATTCCCTGGCTAGCCCACAGAGTTGAGAGGCAAGTGCTTTTTGAACCTTAAAATGCTTCGCAAGCATGAGTTATTATTACAGTTACGACATCAGCAAAAACAGAAAAGGGGAAAGGCAGGTTTGGAGTAGGGAAATGCAGAGTTTCATGTTGGTTATGTTCAGTTGTAGTTGCTGGCAGGATATTCTGTAAGTATATACGGGTGGGTAACTAGATCTTTGGAGAGTGGTTGGGCCTGGAAATAAAGATTTTGTTTTGATCCCATCTAGCTACAGTCATGGGGTAATTATACAAACATAAAACTTCTGTACATTTATTACTGTAGTATTAATGCTGCTTTTTTCTGTCCAAGTGTAGAATTTGCAAAGAGGCATATTTGGGATTGGTGTCAGAAAAAGCTCCCTGAATTATCCCAAGGAGAACAGGACGCCTCAGAAGGTAGGAGGCTTTCCCTCTTCGGACATTTTCAAAAAGGCTGGATGACCACTTTTCCAATGTGTTGCAGCAGGGATTACCCCTTAGGTATGGGTGGGACTAGCTGGTTTCTGAGATCCTTTCCAACTCAGATTATACGATTCTCTGATTTGCTTAGAGATGATAACTGAAGCTATGGGAGTAAGATAAGATCGTGTGGCAAGAAAGAGGAAGAAGCTGAGGGCAGAACTTCCAAAGCAATCTGGTAGAGAGACTTCCACTTCATATCAGCTGAGAGGGTCCTGAGGGCAGAATGGCCTTTGGTCACTGGCACCCTTTCCCTCCCAGCCCAGAAAAAAGGATGATGGAAGCTCAGTGACCCAGAGACTGGACGACTGGACCCCTGGTTTAGTCCCAGATTGCCTTTCCTCTTACCTCCATAGTAATACTGATCCACAGTCTTGAGCCAGCCGACATCATCATGGGTATGGGGCAGGAGGTGCACATTGAGCATAGAGGGCTGGGTGGCCGGGCACAACTGGGCAGTGGGCAGAGACCCCCACCATAGGAGCTGTTAATCACCAGAAATGCCAAGCCCCTGGCCAGCCCCACCTCTCCAGGTAGGGCCCCAAACCACAAGATAGGGAGAAGGCATGGAAAGTCTTGGGGGGGAAGAGGGGCGTTTGATGAGTCCATAGTCCAAGGTCCAACTTTCTTGCATCCTCATCTACGTTACCTAGGAATCTCCCCCAAAGATAAGCCCCAGCAGCCCCCTGCAGAGCTGCACATTGAGAAGCCCCTTCCCCCCTTGGGGTCCCCCAGAGAGATGTACCCAGGAAACATGAAGCGGTCAGGGTGCAGTTGCGCCATCCTTCCCTCTCCCAGGGTCACTTCCCCTTTTCTCTCCCGGGCAGACTCGGTCACGGGGTAAGGGGGAGGGGGCCGGGCCCAGCACGAGCCCCGGAGAGCGGGCGGCTCCGGCTCAGCCCCGGCCGCCCCCGGCCCCCGGTGCACGCTGCCGGCCTCTCACCTCATAGTAGTCGCAGCGGCCGTCCTGAGCCCCGGCCCCCGCGCACAGCGCCGCCGCCGCCGCCGCCAACAGCAGCTGCAGCAGGAGCCCCGGAACCCGAGCACAGCAGCCCGCGGCCATCGCTCGCCTGCCCGTGGGCAGCCCCAGCTTCAGCGGCCCAGCTCCGGCCCCAGCGCCGCAGCAACCCGCCCGGCGGCACCGCCGCCCGGTCCTATAACCCCTTTCTCCGTCCGAGCCGGACCCCGGAACCGAGGCCCAGCCAATGACCCGCTGGGGGGGGCGGGCTCGTCACCCGACCAACCAATCAGGGGGCGGAAGAGGCGGGGCCCGAGAGAAAAGGCGGAGAAGGAGCAGAGCCGGGAGAAACTTTCTTACACATCCATCTGTATTGGTTGCTACGAGTAGTTACAAGCGGTCAAGCCCCGCACCCCCAGCCGCGGCACCAGCCCGGTCTGCCTCGGCCCGGGGGCGTCCGTCCCCAGTCTCGGCCTCCTGGGAAGGACCCTGGCCCAGGGGGGTGGGCTGACACTGCGGCGAGGGGCCAGGCTGGAGGTGCAGGATCCTCCTCTGCCCAAGGTGCCTGGGGCAGGGAAGCTGGAGAGGAATTTGGGGCTGGGGGACACTGACAGGGTCAGGGCCCAAGAACAGGCAGTCCTTCAGCGGAGGTAAGGTCAGAGTGGGGACGTTCCACCGTGGACTCATAGTCTGAGGCCCCAGATTTGGAGCAGAGGCTGGGAGGTGAACACAGGAGTGAGGAATGAACCAGTTTCTGGCTTTTTCTTTATCCTGGCGCAGGAACCAATAGTAAAAGCCCTAGGTTTCTGAGGTCCAGGCTGAAGAGCTAGGAGATTGGTGGCTACCACGGGGGTGTCATAGGCTGGGGGTTCTGGAGGTAGGACATCACCACAGCAGAAATGGAGAGCCTGATTGGGAGGAAAGAGGGTGAGGCTGGGGCTGCAAAGCAGCCCAGGAAGAACTGGAGCTCTTTGAATTCTCTGACAGGTGAGGAGAAAGGAAGAAAGGAGGGGTCAAGCACACCGCCCCTCCTTCACGACACTGGGACCCCCCACCAGGGCTTACATGAAGCTGCTCATCATCTGCTTGGTATCTTCAGAGCTTCGAGAGTTGGCAAAGCTGATGAAGGAACAGTAGACAGCAATCCAGGCACACCACTTCAGCTGGGGAGAAGAAAAGCAGAATGAATCAGGCTGGGCTGGAGTCCTTTCCCTCTTTGACCATGAACCCTTCAAACCCGAGGCCTGAATCCTCACCCCAGGGGCATGTCTTCTCACCGAGGCTGACTGACCCTCCCCACCCTGTCCCTGGGCTGCACCTTGAGCATGAGGCCGCACATGCTGAAGATCATTCCCAGCAGGTTCATGTAGTCCGGGGTCGGATCCTCCAGGGCCGGGTTGTTCTCTGTGGCAGGTGGCTTGTACCTGGGAACACGAAGGTGACACGGAAAGGGGCTCTGTCAGCCCATCTCGAAGCCCAGGGAGGAGAATCATTGAATAGGCTTTCCTTGCCCAAGTTCTCCAAGCTCAGGGTAAGGAAACAAGAGGAATCACTTTCTCCACCCCAGATCTCTTAAGTACAGGGAGCGAGTCATGAGGTCGGCTTTCCCAGCCTGGGATCTGAAAGCAGAAAATCGAGCCAAGTCAAATAGCTTTTCCTCCCAGGATCTCCAAGCGCAGGGGAGACACATAACCATATTGCCTACCTCCGATCTCTAAGCGCAGCCTGGGGAGTCAAAGAGCCAGTGTCCCCAGATAAGGATCTCTAAGCGTAGGGTGTGAAGTCAAAGAGCCAAGCTTCCCCAGGTGAGGAGTCTAGGGAAATAGCTTTCCCTCATAGGATCTCTAAGCTCAGGTTGCAGTTATGGAAAAGGCTTCACTATACGGAAATCTCTGAGCTTGGGGGTGGAGACGGGGCTGGATTCTCACCTGAGCACCTTGTTGGGCCGCCGGGGGTCCGACATGTTGTTCGCGGACATTGCCGGGCCGGGAAGGGGCGGGGTGTGCGGCGGGGGAGGGGGGTAGAGAAGACACGCGAACCACCGGTCCTGACCCCGCCCCTTTCGCCGGCACTTCCGGTACCATACAACTCCCTAATCGTAGGGGATCCTCTAGGGTGTAACACTGAAGACTCGGACACTTTCGTTCCAGTTACCGCCCCGAACATGGCGTTCCCAGAGCCGAGGCCAACGAAGCCGGAGCTGCCTCGGAAATCGGTGCGGAGCCTGCCCTGCCGCCAGGGAGCCGTGCGGGCCGTGCGCTTCAATGGTCTGTGCTCTCCCTGGCCGGGAAGGGAAGAGGGGGAGGGAGGGAGAGGAGGAGGTGGGAAGGGAATGGGGAGAAAGGAGGGGAGGCGGGAGGGAGAGAGGAGTGGAGAGAGGGAAGGAAGGTGGGGAAGAAGCCGGGGGGAGTGGAGGAGTGAGGCGAGGGCTCGGACTCTCCTTCCGAACAGTGGATGGTCGATACTGCCTGATCTGTGGCAGTGACAAGTCACTGTGCCTGTGGAACCCACTGCGAGGGACATTGCTTCGGACCTACAGCGGCCACGGGGCAGAGGTGCTGGATGCTGCGGGGTGAGGCCCCCCACCCCCCATTCCTTCCTGAGCTGGTCCCAGAATGTGCCTCTTCTATTGAGGCTCTGCCCGGGTGCCACCTCACCGAGGCCCTTTCCTCTTCCCCAGGTGTTCCATGGCAGTTGGAACTCTCCTTTTGTCCCAAATTTTAGGTACCCATAAACTGTAAACCAGTCCCCACCCTCCGCCTTCCTATAGCTACCTCCTGTACCCCAGTGATCCCTGTATTCTTGCACCCTACTCTCCCAGCTCATTTGACAACAGCCGCCTGTGCTCTGGAGGAAGTGACCGAGCTGTTCTCTTTTGGGATGTGGCATCAGGCCAGATCCTCCGAAAATTCCGGGGCCACGCAGGGGTAAGAGTAGGGATTGGAAGGACTGAAGGGGAATCCGAGGCTGCCCCATTCCCTGCCTTCTTCCTGGCCCATGGCCCCAGAGAATCTTAGTCTTCTTCACCCCCTACTCCACCAACCGTGCTCGGAGTCCTTTGCATGTAATTCCTCCAAACTCTGAACTACCCTCCACTTGATGTGTGGCACCTTACTCACTTAGCTGTCTTCTACCATACCATGCTATGCCTCCCTTGCCTTCAAAGTCCAGTTTAGGGGCCACTTCTCCCAAGAAACCCTACACAACCAAATCATTCCTTTGCTCCTTCCCACACTTCCCTGAACCACACTTGCTTGGTTCTGGGTGGGTCTCGTAGCCTCATACAATAACCCACATTGACCAAGCATTCCTCTACCCCCATCCCATGCTGGCTTTCCAGAAGGTGAACTCTGTGCAATTCAATGAAGAAGCCACAATGATTGTGTCTGGTAAGTTGAGTTGTGGGGGTAGGGGAAGCTTCAACAACCTAGGTCCTGCCCCTGCTTCCACTTCACTGGGAGCTGGGTTTGGGCTCCAGGTTCTATCGATTCAAGTGTCCGATGCTGGGACTGCCGCTCACGACGACCTGACCCTGTCCAGACCCTAGATGAAGCCAAGGATGGTATATCCAGTATAAAGCTGTCAGACCATGAGATCTTAGCAGGGTGAGTGCCAAAGTAGGGAAGAGACGGGTCAGAGACCAAACAAAACCTGGACCCTCCCAAGCCCCTCCTCTTGTATCTCTCCCCAGTTCTGTGGATGGACGTTCACGGCGCTATGACCTTCGGATGGGAGAGCTGTACGCAGACTATGTGGGAAGTGAGTATACAGGGCACAAGGGGCCTGGGAGGGCATAGCTGGGAGCACTGATCCTCACCCTGCCCCCTTTACAGGTCCCATCACTTGTGTGTGCTTTAGCAAAGATGGCCAGTGCACGCTCATCTCCAGCCTCGACTCTTCCCTTCGACTCCTGGACAAAGATACAGGGGAGCTGCTGGGAGAGTAAGCCTACAAAGCAGCTGGCCTCTCTTCTATTTACCTGATGTTCAATGTGAATTAAGCTCCTGTGTACAAACCTCTCCAGGCACAGAAAACAGACCCAAAGAAAGCTGTGGCAAAGGGGGATAACAGGCATACAATTATAAAACATGAGATGGTGAGAGAGGCACCAAAGATGACTTTCCCAGGGGAGTCTGGGAAAGCTTCATGGTTCGAGGTCACACCTGGATTGGGCCTTGAATGAATGAGGGAGGGGGATTTCAACAAAGCCAGACAGAAATGACTACATTCCAGGCCTAGGCACAGAGAACTGAGAGAGAAAGGAGGAGAGCATCACATAAGGCAGAGTAAGGCTACGGTAGGAGAGCCTCGAATGCACGTTTCTTGCAGCAAGGGGTGGGGAGTCTCCAGCTCTTAGGGGCCAGCCTGACATCTCTCCACCTCAGGTACACAGGGCACAAGAATCATGAATACAAGGTGGACTGCTGCCTGAGTGAGCGAGATACCCATGTGGTCAGTGCCTCGGAGGATGGAAACGTCTATTTCTGGGACCTCGTGGAGGTGAGTGCCCCCAGTGACTAGCACCTTGCTCCTCTCTCTTCCTTCTCACTACAGTTTTTCTTCTACGTCACAGGGCACTCTGGCTTTGACTCTGCCTGTGAGCCGAGGCGTGGTCCAGTCCCTGGCCTTCCACCCCACCGAGCCCTGCCTGTTGACTGCCTCAGAAGGCAACGTCCAGTGCTGGCGGGAAGAGTCATTTGTAGCGGAGGACGAGTTGCCAGCTTGAAGGGCAGCACAGACATACCTGGATGGGACGCATGGATTTTATTGGCCTTAGGAATCGGTACCATTACCTGCCACATACAGAGACCTTTATCTCAGGCCTATGGATTTGCTGACCTTGGCTGGGGCACCATGAAAGTTGGGAATGTCTAGGGAGTAACTGTGAGACAATAAATAGGAGGGGTCAGAACCCAGAACCCCAGCTTCCAGGTCCTTGTTGGAACTAGCTGCTCAGTCATTGTTCTTCTCAGGAGTGAAGGCGCCGATTTTCTGGGCAAAAGTCTCTGCCACAAGCAGAGGGAAGACAAGAGAGGCATCAGCATAGACCTGGGGGAGGAGATTAGAAGAAAGGGAGAACCAAATAACTAGAGGCCCAAGACTACCTCCCACCCCCAACA